AATAATCTCGTGGGCCCACTGTTACGTTGCACGTGCGTCTTACTACTACAACTTCTGTCTGGGGGCGCCCTCTCTTCTTTTTTTGTGGCGCCTGTCTTTCGCCCTCTGCTGTTCGGGCGAGCGGCCTAATTCCGCTTTACGAGCGGGAATTTTGAACAAGCTTGGTTGAATTTAGCACAAAGTATGCTTATATTGCTTCAATTATTTAACAGACGTAGAGCTGGTGAAATCGAGCGAGTTCTTATTGAAAATTTTCAATTTTATACAGGCATTAATGAAAATACGCACAGAGAATTATATAAATTATTATCATCAGCTTCGCAAAAGGTAATAAATGTTGAAACGGTACGTTTGTATGCGCGGAATAACTCGCCGGAATCAGGAGTTCGATCGGTTGGGGGCACGTAAAAGAATGCTCGGTATTGTAATAATAAAATAAGATAACGTTTATTGTATAAATGCTAAGATCAATTATATATAGTCGTGTGGATACGGAACGTTTAGTATGTTGTTCGAACGCGTATTATAAATTAAAGCGGTGGTGCGAACGGTGCGTAACGGCGGTCGTACAGTGACGTTAAAGCGTCAGCGCAAACGCGGGTGCCGCAGTTGTCTCTAGGGGTGCTTACGACCATAGACATATATAACTAGCATGCCGTATATTTCCTTATGATATTCGTTGGGTTTGGCAGAACGGAGAGAGAAGCAAAACATAGGGGATAGAGTCCCTAGAAGTAAGAGTCTGGCCAATGTTCTAATTAGAAATAAAATGGCGACCATATATATAGTGAGTGACGACCACAGATATCTATATTATAACTAGATCGCTAACTTGCTTTAAATACATAGCCCCAAAATCTATGTACTAAACTTTCGCGCATGCGTAACATTGGTAGACAGCGTAGACAGTAATCATTGGTTGATGTTATGTATAATCTGTACACATATAAGTATGAAACTTGTATATATAATATTATAATAAAATTTTGAAGTAATATGCAACTTTTCTCATCTTTTAAGTAAAAAATTAGCTCCTAAAAATAAAATAATGTAAAAATAATTCTTAAAATATGCAGTATATTG